GTTAATAAATATAAAACTTTTACATGCATGTCTTGTCTTAAATATCTGCTTTTGGGCACTGTGATACATGAGTGATTTTATGCTGCATGAAATGCATGCATGCCTCCTTCATGAAAGAAGATCACCGAAAATCTGATCATTTGATTAACTTCTGTTAAGCAAACATCCAAGCAAATGAGCTGTCATACATATGAGGACAGTGTTTTTTTCTAAAACAGTGGTTGAAAAGCACTATTACAACACGAACGGGGGAAAAACATTATTGTTGCCAGCACTTGCTGTCGTGATAGAAGTGGTTCGCAATAAATCATGTGTTTCAAAAACGACTTCTACAAAGGAGCTCTAGAACTTCTAAACTTTAAGCTGAGGACAATGTATTACTAAAACAGGATGCAAAATGGGCTGTCATTAAGTGCAAACTACATTCATAGTAACATTTCCTATCTTTTTGTTTCATATGCTTAAAGATGCCATGTCTGAGTTGTCTTGAATGCAGTTTAATTATTTACCTATTGATTCATATGGATCCCAATATTTTATTCATACTTTATAATACATTAAACCCGTTTGCCTTGATTGCAGCCCTAAGTGATTCCCTGATGGCTTTGAACAGAGACGATGCAACCAATGGTAGAGTATTAGTTCAGTTCTCTACGCTAATATATTAACTTGCACCACAAATAAAATGCATATCAACAAAATGGTGTCTAAATGTTGGGGAAGTTTAAGACATTTCAAATTTGGAAATACAAACAATACTTATATTGGAAATTTTAAACAAATTTAAATGAGTTTACATTTTTTACAATTTTCTTAAGATTCATCACACACTTGTTGGGGAGGAGACTCATTCACCTTCCTAATAACTGGAGAAAAATTATATAAATATACCCAACATTTACATCTATCGACAAGTATGGCAAGATAGATTTAGTTTATGCTACTGTGTTGTACTAATAGTGCTTTAATCGTTCTCAATCTGCCTTATTTTCTGTGCATACATATGGAATTGTTTTGGTTTTTGGCATCGTTTTCCTACTTTGCAAAAAGTGTAACAGATTAAACTTCAGTTTGGCTCATATTTTTTCCTCATATTTTTGCAACCTAACAACTAATATGTAGACGTTTTTTCAATGGCATGTAATTACCTTTAAATGACCTGATAACCATCCTCTGTAAGTGGATGGAAAAGTCCAGATTCTCAGATTGGTTTTGAAGCTGTGCTTGTTTTTATCCCTGAAGCCTACCACCTTAGACGGGAAGAGACAGATTGGTTTGACAAACCGAGAGACGGGCGGTCGGAGAACGGACAGGAGAAGAGACAGGTGAAAGATGAAAAAACACACATACACTGTAGTAAAGTTCTCAAAGTGTCATCTATGAAATGCCAAGCTGCATGCATCCACATGGAATCATCTTGATATATATAAATATATATATAAATATGTTGCATGAATGGTGTATGGTTTTTGTATAGTAGCACAAGGCACTTAACGTCTTACCATTGTGTATGGGCCATAGGGAAAAGGTCCATACTACCCCTTCCCTCACCTCAGGGTCAAACTGCAGAGGGATCCTAAAGACCGCAGTGTCTCAGGTAAAGTAACACAGTTTACAGGAGCATCATGTTAATGGTAAAGTGACTGACTATACAGTCAGAAAG